CTATAATAATATTTTGAACGACTTTGTCAACTTATGCGCCAAAACATTCTTGGTGATCTTAATAACTTTTTTGGTTGTTAGAAAAGCTTTTTTCATATGGACTATCAAACTAGTCTCATTGGTTTTATTAGAAACACCATGAAGTTAATAAGCTCGGTCAGGTATACGAACCAAATCGCGTATCGATACGTCATGCTGCGCACTTCTTGCATCTAATCAGCCTAAATCAGTTGGATCTCGACACACCGATCATTCTCCTAATATATCTTCCCACAACATAGCGGTTGATGTCATTTACCTTGACTTCTCAAAAGATTTTGATAGGATCAACCAAATATGTCGTATCAATAAGCTCGAACGATTAGGTATCAAATCACTGGCTCACTTCATATCTAAAAAGTCGACATTTTGAGGTCAGGGTTAACTTCACTTTCTTTCAAGCTACGGAATGTTCTAGTTGGGTTCCTTAGGATTCAGCGCGAGGACCTCCTCTTCTCGTGATATACACGAACAATCTTCCACAACAGGTATCGTTTAACGTATTACGTTCTGCTGATAATGTGAAACTTTGGAGATAGATATGCAGCCACCGGACATGCTGGCACTTTAGGAGGATCTGACTCGACTTCAAAGTTGGGCAGATGACAACGAACTTCCAAAACTTCAAAGAGCAAATTAGGCATGTTGCAGATTACGCATACAAGTTAAGAAACCCCCCTCTAGAAGTATCCCGAGTTGAAAAAGTTTTACGTGTGCAGTTACCCTACGACTTGAAGCCTTACGCTGCGGAAAAATGCCTTTCTAACAAACCTTGCACTGTTAACATTGAATCACATTTTTGGCCAGTTCGGCGGAAGAACTTTTCACATGATCTTTAACAGTTTCATTCGTTCTCATTTAGAGTATTTCCTCCCTCACTCCTCAGGGATAAGAACATTCTGGAGCGTATACAACGGCAAGCCACGAAAACAGTTAGGAGACTCACATTCAAACCTTGTGAAGAGCGCCAACAGTCGCTAAACGTTTACCCATTAGAGTGTAGGAGTCATGGAGGTGACCTTCCTATGGCTTACAGTATCTTTAACACGTCTGTACATCCCCTTAAACATCTAATTAAGTTTAGCGCCAACACAAATTTAAGGCGTAACACCCAGAGACTGGAGATACAGCATAGAAGAACGGACTGTAGACACAACCTTTACCCTTTAAGAGTTGTCAAAACCTGGAATTCGCTACCGGCTGAACTAGTCCAAGCGACTCCCCAGAAGTTACTTAAGAGGAAACTTGACCTATTCTTAAGGACTAAGGATAGTATTTTACTATGATTCACTAATTTTGTTTTCCTTTATTATAAATAATATACCTAGGTTCCTAGATAAACGTATTGGTGATCCACTTCCACTAGACACAGAAGCCCGTTAGGTGAAAGCTTCTTCTTTTCCGTCCATAACGGTTTGAAATCTTTCATTCTCGATTTTTGGTTTGATTAGTTTGTAGTGTTGCGTCGCGTAGCGGTTGACTATGGTCAACACTACAGGAAGACTACGTGCCAGTTAACTGATAAGATCCCCCGTAGACCAAATATCAGAAGGCAGTTGATGGCTGTAGTCGAGATGTATTTGTTAGCGATCTCATGGTATCGAAAGAATACCGGGATCGTGCCAGGTTACAAGTGTGTTTACTGGGAGTAACCGAATTCGTGCAGGGTCACAATCAGTCCTCAGTCTTCAGTAATAAGGATGGGAGGTCTATCGACCTATATAAATCCTTGCAGTTTGTAATACTGTGGAGGTCCAATCTCGTTTTGAATATATCAACATAAGGTGCTGATATCACGTGTTACGGTAGAGAATTCCAGTAATTCACTACTAAGTGCGGAAAACGAAACTCCAGACGTAAACGATTTGATCTCAGTTTTTGAACTTTCTTCGGATGTCCTCTCAAATGGTCAGTCCTGGACGGAAGTAAAAGATAAGACCAAGGTCATCGTTCAGTATACGATAAGCCAATATTAGATCACCCCGTACTCTACGGTAAGATAACGGAAATGAGTTAAGGTGTCTCCATCTGTCTTCATAAGATAGGTCAGATAGACCTTGTACCATCTTAGTACCTCGTCTTTGAACTCTTCCAGCATATCTGCTTTATAGTTGAAACAAGGACTCGCTGCCTTGATCCCATATTCTAAATGTGGTCATACATAAATCGGGCATAATGATCTAAACATTTCATCATCCAAATATTTCACCATCCACCTATTTGTAGTGATACGTCTCATCATAGTTATTTATTTGCATCACTACACTCTTAATAGGATTTACTTCTAGTGACCACCTGTCCAACCATGCCATCAATGAGCTAAGATCATTCTGTAATACTATTCCCTCCGACATACTGTGTATGGGTCTCCAATTTTTTATGTCATCAGTGAAGAGTAGAACATATGATTTTGCTACAGGTGGTTATTCACTTACATAAAGTAAAAAGAGAACGGGACCGAGGATTGTACCTTGTGGAACTCCACTTTTTGCAGGTACCCATGAGGAGAGAACCCCATTTACCCTTACTGTTTGTCTCCTGTCATAAAGAAAGTTACTTATCCAATCTACAATTGTGTAATGGACTCCAAAACGTTGCAGTTTGAATTTAAGACCAAGACGGGAGATTTTTTCGAAGGCCTTACCTAGATCTATGAAGATCACATCCACAGGAATATTCCGATCTTCTGCAGCAGCCAAATCTTTTCCTGCAATAAAATTTGTCAAGCATGATAGGCCTCTCCGAAAACCATGTTGTTCCCTGAAGAAAAGATTATTCTTTTCAACATAGTTTATAACAGATATCCGAATGATTTTTTCCATCAGTTTTACAACTGCACAAGTTAAGCTAACGGGTCTATAGTTGCTAACTAAATCCCTACTCCCAGCCCTATACACCGGACTTATAATAGTGTCTTTCCAGTCTCTAGGCAGTCTGGACTGTCTCAGAGACATGTTAAATAATATCGTTCATGGTTCAGCAATTTCATCTGATATGGCTTTCATAATCCTAGCATGAATATCATCAGGACCACTGGATTTATCAGATTTGAAATGCTCACGTAGCCTTAAAACAGTACCTTTCTCAGTGACTACAGGATCCATCAGCGAGCCGTTACGGTCACGATGAATCGTTGGTCGTTCCTCGTTACCGATAGAAAATACTTTACTAAAATATTCCGATAAAGCTTCAGTCATTTTGGCATCATTTTTGACCAAGATTAACGGATTTTCTTGCATCAAAAGTGATGGAATTCCATCGTCTCTTTGAGTTCGCCTTTTTATATACGAGAACTACCGTTTCGGACTATATCAATAATCCCTAACCAACTGTTTTCTATATATCGTCTAGTCTTACTAATCTCACAATATTTGGATCTGTATTGTGCCGCTATCACGAGATTCGCTAGCAGAGGAGCGGATATTTATATTATTGGCTATATATAACAGGACGCCACCCTCTTTTCTACATCTATGTCTCTCACTCCTTGGGTAATGGCATCCGGATGATTCTGGAGTAATGTCTAAGTCATGGACAAATCATGATTCTGTCACTGCTACAATGAGTGGTTTTAATCTGTCCACTAATGCTTCTAGTTCATAGAACTTACTTCTTAGACCACGCGAGTTGGCGTGTAAAACTCCTGGGAGGAACGGTCTGTCAACACAGACCTTGGTAACGTTGGCCTCCAAGACCTGACTATCCGAAATTCCACCAACCTGACATTTTCCTCACCGTTTTGCCGACGGGTTTCTAGTTCAGCTGGTGCTTTCTTCTTTTTTATTCTATGTTCGATAGACATATCAGGTCTAACCCGAATGTCGTAATTGTTGTGACAACGAGCGCTAATTAACACGATATCCCGTTGCTTCTCCGATCCTGCGAGGCCAAAGCGAATAGGCTCATGGCCTCCTGTATTAGTAACGTCTTATTTGCACAGGAAAACATGCAAGGCCAATATGAGTTAGGATTCAAACATCCTTTGTACGCGGTGGCAGTTAAACGAATGCACAACTTATGGAACCACTTTTTACATTCATCTCAGTGCATTCCTTTCTCCACAGAGTACAAACAGTTTGGTTGTCCACATTTGTGAGTAATACCAACCATTTTAGTCAGAGTGAGGTGCAAAACACAATATGATCACAGTATGAAAACAAGTGTCAGTCAATGAGTAAAAGGGAACCATAAGACAAACTTTGGCAAGATTTCAATCCTTAACTAAAGTACTTTGATATAGACCAAGAATACTTCCGATGCAACAATTACACGAAAGCAAGGATAATCACAACAAGTACTTAGCCACTGCCTTTTTGAAACACGCGCCAGATCAACGGAAGAATGTATGTATTTGTTGCAGTTAAACAAACAAGTACGGTAAAACAAGCCCTGGTACAATCGGTTATAATAATTAGTTCCATTACACCAACCGCATTCTCTTGATAAAAGTAGGTCATTACCGGTTTTCGAATTCGCTAACAAAGTGAGCACTTACGACCACTGCCGTAAAGCAGCGCGTATCCATAACATCTTTGAATAACAAGGCATCAGTTTGAGGTCGTTTACTGAAAGCTTACTGATAACACATTATATAACTTCTCATGAAGGAAAGTCAGACGTTAACCGTCAATTGGATTTAAAGTTAACCTTAATTAATTTGGAACGAAACATTTTGACGACGGACTCTCGTCCTCATTCACGAAGGTTGATTATAATTTGTAGTGTTCCCAAAGATGTACCTTGAAATCAGTTCGTAGTCTTTTCATGGATATTACAAAAATCTGAGAACAGTAGATCGATTCTTACTAGAATATAGGATGCTCAAAGGTGGAGGCTCGGTGACCCATAACATCCTAAAACCAGTCAATAGCAACTTCAAAACTTGTATAAGATACTCCGGATATTTATACAAGCTACCCATTACATAATTGGAAATTAGACGTTTTACTCATTTCTGTCAAGGAAACGTCACCAGCGCACTTTGAGTAACTTTGTTGCAGCCCATTCCAAACTACACTATCAACTCATAGTCTCGATTAATAAATTGTAATAATCTTACACTTGTGTTGTTACAGACCGCTTTAAATTAATTACCTCATTAAACGTAAGTGCATTCTACGTACTTACTGGGTGAATTACTCACATTTTCTCTTCCAGGTTCTCTAGGGATCACTGCACCTAACATTTCACCACCACAAAAATTACGTTAAAGCTAGAGAAAAACATACTAGAGGTGATATGACTGAATTGTAAGAAAAGTTTTGTCATGTAAATTCAGGTTAGGGCTGACAAAAAATGTGATGAAACACAATTAAGCGAGAGGTCAGGTATTTTTCAGCCTTTGGATTATTCGTTTCTGAATATAAAAAACGTATCAGGTATTACAATTGTCAGTAACACTTACACGTTTCAACAGATTTAACTGTGTGTTGTCCGAGAATAATACCTAGTAGCAATTCGGTCATTAAAAAGGATATAAATGAAAAATGGGTTACTCGGACTCTGAAAATAAATAACAACCAAATAGAGGACATTTCTACACTACCTGTTGTGGTTCATGAGCTTTTCGGAGATACGTCCAGCTTAACGTGGTTAGATATATCTTGTAACAACATACCCAGTATTCCAAATGTAAATTGTAGTTTGTTTTCACTTTCAATTTTAGCTCAGTCTTTTAGTAGTCTTAAACACCTGAAAATCATCTATATGCATGGAAATAAAATAGCGACACTTCAGGAAGTGATAAAACTCAGACAGTTACCGAAGCTCACGAAACTTACGTTACATGGGAACCCCATTGAGAAGGAGAAGGTAATGCCTTATATCAGTTCACTGAAACAGCTACTGTTGACCATGCTGTTCCGTTTTTTAGAAGAACATACGTCCCAACTCTCATTGCGACATCATCAAGCCAATTATGTGGCTTTTGGCCAAGTATCATGATACATCTTCTATGCTAAAAATAGCCTCTTATAAACACCTAAGGGCTCGAAACAAGCCCTTGAATTTCGTAGTACAAATTCTTGTTGTGAGTGGTTTACATAAGTGTGAAATGAGGGAACTAAAAAATACAGTAATTTGAGAGGGGCTGTGCTTTCCCTACTCTTGAGAAATAGAGTAAGCAGGCTTATCTTGAGGAAAATCACAACAGACTTGTTACAATGTGGAGATAACTCCTTTTGGCATCATATATACTGTGACGACGATCATGGTCAAAAGAATCGTTCACTAAAACACACGCACGATACAAACACTAAAAATTGACATTGCAGTTTGAGGATTACATGATAGTAGATATGGACATAGACTTCCTAAAAGTATAAGAGGAAGAACAAACTAAATTTCCTTCGCATGTTTGTGATGTGATATACGACTTGGAAATTATTATTAATAAAATGGCAGCATTTTTTATGATCGGAGCATCATGTTTGCAGTGGTGAAGAAACCTTTATTGGAATCCGATAAACCTTAGGATTGTCAACATCTTACATGGTAAATTTCATTCAGTTCAATGTTTTTTTCTTTCTGCAGGGTTACTTTCATACGGTTCTCTCAATATTACCAAACCTAGTAACTCTTGATTTTACTGGAATCTCGCAGGCGGACAAACAGACTGCCGCACTGATCAGACGTCCTGGTCAGAACAAACATTGAAAGGGGGATCTCTCCACATCGTCAGTTTCTAAAATAACCATTGGAAGTGTACCAAACGAAAAACTAAAACTGCTAAAGACAATGAAACAGAGTATATTTTGCCAATTGCTTTTTTGTCGAAAGACCCTCATCCCTTTTAGCTTATACTTTACTAGTTGTTTTGATAATGATACATTTAAAATTGGAATTATTCTAGTAATGCATAACAAAATAATCGCATTTTGATGACAATTTGAGAATATGGAAATACCGAAAGCTTAATTTTGCTTTACATGCAAGATACATACGCAGATGATATAGTGATGTTTCGTGAAGACGCTGATAAAATGCAGTCTTCTAGTGGCTTTGAGCAACAATACTAGAATGTTTGGGGTGCGCTTCTCTCCTTCTAAATGCAAATTGTTGCTCCAGGACTGGCCTGCATCAACACCTAAACTAAAGATAGGAAGTGAAGTATTCGAACGCGTTGACAACCTCACTTACCTTGGAAGTCTGATCAGCCATAATGGGTTCGTGTCCGACGAAATCTCAGCACGGAATTGAAAAGCTCCCTCGGCTTTTTTGCCAACATACGTCACCTACGGCGAATGCGAGATATCCGTCTATCAATTAAGGGACAAGTATACTGCGCGACAGTTCGTTCTATTCTGCTTTACGGCTGCGAAACGTGACCATTAAGAGTTGAAGATACTCGTAAGCTACTAGTATTTGACCACAGATGCATTAGAAATATTGCTCGCATCTGCGGGGATCGCCGAGTAAGTAATAGTGAAGCTAGACGCAAGGTATTAGGGAGTGATGGTAAATCAGTTGACGAGGTTGTGAATCTCCATCGACTGAGATGGTTGGGTTATGTATACATGAACACCGATTACCGCGACGCGCATGCTGACTAGTGTAGGGGCGGCCAAAGCATGGTATCAGTGCTTGAAGTCACTAACTTCTAGTCTTAGTCATGTCTGTAGATGCAGACCACTTGGTTGGGGTCCGTGTGACTATCGTAACCAGTGGTTGAAGACTCTTGGTGACATGGCTGAGAATGGATCACAATAGTGTAAGTGTATACACTCTTTGTCCTCTCTTAAACTGTGAGATTAAAATTGTTTTATATCTTTCTTTCTACCAACTAACTCTTTGTTCCTGCACTGTATCCTTATATGCAATCTTTTTTTTTATATATTACCACCATTGAATTTACTACTTCTATGAATCCAGTGTTCATCTTGATGTGCTAATGAGGTATGGCAACGTGGACCGATGCACATATGTGCCTGGCCCTACGTCGTAACTGACTGACGCAAGAGATATTCACGAGAACTCACACAAGATGATGATTCAAACTGAAAATAGTGATAAACCTTGTTGTATGTTAATTTTCAAAAGGTTTATGTTATGACTGGCCATAGTTGAATGCTATGCCTGAATCTCTTGTTTTTATACTCGGGACAACGAGGAACCACTGCAATTCCATCGACGCGAAGTAAGAACATCAAGACTGGTAGAAATGAGGATTTATTAACTCTAAAACACGACGACGACCCTAGTTGAAAATGCACTCACATATTAATTGTACAGATGTTGATTATTAATTAGAAGGAAATCACATATATGAAAAATACCTAGAGTTGTAACAAATTACATGCTGTATGTCATGCTGAGTATAGTTCACGTTAATTTAATACAAGAATACCGTATCTTGAACAAACGCCACACTCAAATAACTTGATGTTATGCTGAATATAATATATTGGAAAACGAAACAAATACTACCCTGGGTAACCATCACACTGAATTAAAACTGAAGTAATGTTGGACAAAAATAACAATGGGTAACGGAATATAACTTGCTTTTAAATCCCGTCATATCGGCTCTTCCATGTTGTTTCAAATGGTCAAGTTTACTTGAGATAGTAAAATGACGAGAAGCTCACCCAGAAACACTGAGAACTACTTGTCAAGACCGATTTTTAAACAACTGTTCTACTTCAGTTCCTACTAATTTTAAGAGATGTATCAAAATCCATGATCACAACATTTTAATATTCACACTCAAGACAAATTAGTGTAATACAACAGAGCTAATCTTATCTGTTAAAATCACTACAGAATAGATTGGTTAAAGTGGAAGACTTATGCTACTGTGGATGTTAGATCAAATGAGGTTTTCTAAAACTAAATTCTGAGATATAATTGTATCTAATAAAAACTAATTGGCACTGCTTCACCAAGAGATAGATAGATAAGAAAGTTAACGAGATGATTATACTGATATCTAATTTACGAGTAAGCTACACAGAAAAAAAAGATAGTCGTTAAAACAAGGTGGACAAGTTGAAGTACTGATAAACATTAGTGAGTGATGGAAGAGAATACACCCTGGACTAGTCGGCAAGGCATGTCTACAATAACAGTGATACTCTGCGACGTTGGTAAATCTGAAGAGGCCAATTGGTGACTAATAATATCCTTAGCAGATTGTAAGCATAAAATATAAAAATATACACAACGCACCTAATACACATCATACGAAAAGCACACTCCTCTCTTCAAAAAGTAGGAAATTTTTACGGAACTCATCATAATACGCATCTACAACTTTTTGACTGAAGTAAACGTTTCAAGTTGGAATCCATCAAAGCGCAAGGACGTGTAATTGAATCAAGATCCAAAAAAGCCAAGTATATCGCAAGGAAAACGGCTTTTTCGCAAATAAGTTCCAAAGACGCTGATAAGATAGTCTACTTAACTAAAGAACCAGAGATTTAGGTCAACAGTATGGAGACATCCTGGCCAGTTCTCATTGTATTTATAAGTGTATAACTTGATAGAAGTTATAAACGAGTCCAATGAACAAACAAGTACTTCAGCCTGTGGCAAAAAGATTGCTATCACAATTCTTATTCCTAAATCTTCTGGTGATAAAAAAGACAACTGAAAAAACTATCTATCTAAATAGATAGGGTGTGGCGAAATTGATTTACCGATTACTAGATTTTAAATGAAAAACGATATAATCGGACGAAAAACGAGTTGTCTAGTCCGCAAAGATCGGTAGGTTTCAGTGAACATGTGCCAATCAGGACGCGAAAACACGTAGGAAAAACTTTTTATTCATTATGACAATTCTAAAAATATAAGGTAAAAAAGTAGACGTCTAATAAAGCTATTCACAGTTTTTAGATCAGATTTAGTCTTTGATGCTCATATTCGGCTTCTTCTTTGAGTTTATATAGCTGTTCTTGGACAACCTGAGTATACATAGAGTGAATATGTGAACGAAATTCTGATGAGGCCAAATATTCAGATGAATTATTCTTTAATTCTTCACGTAAACCATGGGTATCGATTGGTTTACCTACTACAACAGTCAGCTGACGCGGTTTTCCAAATATACATGACAGCGTAGTAGACGTATTTGGAACCTCAGAAGGATTTAGTTGATCTAGACCGCAATGCCAAACAGGAATTACAAGTGGATCCTGAGGGAAGAAGAACGAATATTTTGACGTTTAAGAAGTCTTTTTATTCAATCAACTTATGACAGACGCACTTTCATTTCATAAGGCTGATTAGATAGTCTGTAATCAAGTTTTTAAGTGGTATGAGTTTATGTGCGTCAGATTAACTTTAGTCAACACATCGATAAAAAGTCTATTAGATCAAAAATGGATACATACGGGTAAATGCTAGAATGCACCAGTTTATTAAGAATACGGTTGGGGTGCGTAGATATCACATCGTTATTTTGATAAGAGGTTTTTAGATATTTAAACAAGATAGAATTACATTTATCTAGGAAAGTTGAATTCGATAGTTACAAAATGAAATTTGTTTGACAGTTGGTTCAATGAGAAACAGAACGACAAAAAGTAGTAATATTTTCTGAAAGACAGTGCAGAGACATTTGAAGTCCTACATTGTTTGTGGCTGACTGATATAGGGATATATTTATATATCAATGCAGTATACGTATTAACTAGTAGATTAATAGCTGCTGAGAATTTATTAAAAAAGCTTTTTTTTCTCGTAAGAGGCAGAACAAGTTGTTCGCGTTTGAAGCAACTAGACGATTTGTCAGTAGTAAAAATGATACAAACGACAAGTACCATGGTTATATTGTGCTATAGATAAATCAGAATTTAAAATGTAAGTTGATCTTTGCACATATAAGCAATGGTAGCTGAAAACATAAAACTGAGAGGAATTGTGAAACCATCTTGAACTTAAGGCTCAATCTAAAAAGTGGAGTATGAAACAAATGTCAGGATTCTTCAGTGTTCCCTAAAAAGATCTACAATAATATTCCATTTACAAGAAATGAGGTGTGAAAACGAAACAAGATTCTGTAGAAACCTAATTAGACACTACTAAAAAACTGATAGATAAAAGTTAAACATTATTGGAAACTACTATTCTCATTTTTGTCTAAAACTTGATGTTATCTGAAGCAATAAACATTTATTTGACTACTTCGAATTGGTATTTCCTTCTAACATTTCTGAGAAGTATTTTGTAGATGAATTAAAACAACTATGTTCCTGATGACTTCCACATCAATTCAGTTCCTTCCTTTTCATTCTGATCTAAGTCTCGTTTCGCGATTGCAAATAATTAACAGAAATGCTAACACATTATCACACCAATGAGTTGTCCATCTTTATTAGAACGTACACATATCGCATCTTATTTCATACTCCAATCCGAATCTATTTCATAGCAAATAACACAATCATAAGTATTATGTTACTAAAATTCCCAACCTCACATATTTTTATAGCTACTTTGATTATTTCCCCCAAAGCCAGAACTAGAATAGTGCGATACGTGTTGGGACTACATAAAATTCGTTTTAAATGCGCTGATATCTGAAGATATGATAGATATCAAACGTCTGTTATTTTCCTAACTATCAATATTTATGAAATATTTTGACAATCTATACTGCTATCAAAACTTTATAGAAATTGCTTACGAACGAGCAAAATGTATGTGAGGTGAGACTATAAACCTAGGACTTACGAAAGCTTACTTCTTTTGATTCAGCTATCAATCGTCCGATTCCCCAACGCAGGCGAATATTTTTTTCAGAACCACGTTCATGAGGTTGAATAATTCTCCCCTAAAGTATAACAATTATAATGATGATTAGGGCTTCACTCATAATATATCTACATTTGCCGACCTTATAAAGCAAAGATTTATTTTAAAAGGGCCTTAACAAACTGGTAATTTCCTAGCAAATGTTTTATTCACAACAACAAAAGGTAAATGGCACTTATTCTAGATGATCCCATAAAAAATTGAATATAGACTAACTAGTGAATTTTTGTGGAAATTCTTCCTTAGGTCCAAACGGTGGAAGTCATAAACACTGTGACTTAGTGGGTTTAGACAATTTTGAGTACTACGGCTTAGTAGAAGCATCCAACGGAATCAGTGCTGTAAAACATTTTCAAATATCTGAACGTAGTGAGATTGCTATGTTTTAAAGTAAGTGGAGTGAGTGACAGGAAGGCCGTCAAGCAATAATGAATACTTCAGGTCATTGGTCAATATTTTAAAATGTGCTGTTATATGGTGGTAACTTGAAGGACAATGCCTTTTGCTAAACTTATCATAACGAACTATCGAGTTATGTCTTCATTATACTTTTACCATGCTTAAAAATGTACGTAAAGTGATATTTTCCCTAAGCATTGATTGATTAACACATGAAGATTGTTAAATTACCAAATCATTATCAACATAGAGCCGGATAAAGGGCTGTGTTGGCTCCAGTTGACATACCATAAAAGATGAAATCTATACGATAAACTACACAAGAGGCCGAAAAAAATGTAGTAACAGTTATAATGAAGACAAGTGAACATTTGAAATATAGCTCGTAAAAACAGTGGAAGGGTAAGTATGAAGGAGTAATTGGATTCAAGATCGAGAGGAAGATAAAGAGTGAATGAACCTTGACCACTAGGAACTATTCTGAACAATATCACAATCTACACTACTAAAGTTGAAAAGAGAGAAAGGAAATAAAAATGATGTAAAATAGTTGGAAAATGAAATTAAGCAAAGATTAGTATGGAATTATGCTAGAAATAAAGTGAAATCATTAATTTTGGCAAGAATATAATTAGTACAACATGAACTAAAAAAATTAGCATACTAAAAAAGGCAACTACTTTAAAAACGACTAAACTCACAGCTGTGGTATCGTAAATATTAATTACCAGATATTTTAAACTTAATCATGTTTACAAACCTGGGAAAATAGATGTACCCATTGGCCAGAATTTAGTAAATTGATGCAAAAATCCATACTAGGTTGATAAACCCCCCCACCAAAGTGAGTTATTTTACCAGATAGCGGATCACGAACCCTTCGCCATATAGGAACTCCTCTGAACCAGAAGAAGAAGTTGGTATGAAGCGAAGTTGTATAACATATATCTACAGCTGTCAAGCACCAACGACATACGGTTACTAAATATTTTCATAATGCTCGAATGTCGTGATACTACATACCATTAGCAAAATGCCTAAGTTTGAGCAACGAACCACACAAGAAAAAATCGTCAAGACACGAATGGTGATTGCTGACTGTAATCAAAGGCTGATTACTAGGTCTTTTGTCAATGGCCAATAAAAGGCGTTCCGAACCGACAACGTTTAGCTGATGACGTGACAAGGCTATCTTTGAAGCTAATCCCATGAAAGAGTATGTTAGGGATTGGAGGATTTTACGTGGAAGATATGAGGATTCCTGATTTTTGTAAAGCTTGTAAACAAGATCCATTTTGATAAAAGGAATAGTGCTGTCCAGAAATTCAAAATTCACCAGATGTTTTGGGGATAAGGATTCATTGAATCAAATTTTATTTGCAAGTATCGGTACCTGAAAGAGCAACGGTAAAATGTACCTGTCAAGTGCTGACATCAACTGCAAAAATATAATACTCCCAGTATATCGAAAATTAGCTGATAGGTAAGTGATCACTTACGCTGAACCTATCCAATAAAAACAAATATTTTTCGAGAGCATTGTTTGGAAATTATCAGTACTAAATTGTATAACTGGTCTATTGATATACTTGAGGGTACGCATGCTAAATCATGGAGTCCCTGAGGCAGTACGACAGCGATTATTCCATTGGTTTGATATGCTCTATACGGCATTAACACTATACACCTAAACTAGAATTTATTATTTATTCGTGCACATAGACCTAGAGATTGTTTCTCAGCATTTCCATTCGAGAAATTAGGAAATCAATGCATAGCGGGTATGCCGTAGCCAGGCAAGCAGTTCAGCGTTATGTTGAGATGTCTTTCCGTGATAGGCTTCAAGCTAGCATTTCGACTGATCGTACACAAATAGCCAGTAAGGTAGACTCACACAAACAAGTAATTATACTTAAGAAAATTAAAATAACTTCATTTTAGCAAGATAATATGGTACTAGTACACGGAAAGCCTGGTCTGATCAACCGATGTAGAGGACCATGGATTAATGAAACTTAGGTCACTCACAGACGAACGCAACTACTTCGAAGATCCTTTTTATTCTAGTGACATGGGAACATTTATGTGCTCGGTAGTTAGTCATGAGCACACATGGGTTCACGTCAAGGATATTGACTGTAAATGTATTGCCCTTGATTGTGTCAATTATTTAGTGGTTGTTCCATTGCTACATACGTTTATGTGAATGTATTGTTTCATTTTTGCTGATGGTATTACCATAAACCATTTCCTTACCTCTTATGTCCTATTTAGCCGGCTTACAAACAATACGTAATTGTAGACGCACCAAGCAAGAGGCAGCTTATGACTGCAGCTAAACAGTGGATTGTGGGAAAAGGGATTTGTCGCTATCCATCGGAGCTTGTTGATATGCACCTGCAAAACAGTGACAACCAGATGAAAATTGGTCAGTCCTGAGGTGTAAGGTCATTCACGAATGCGTGAGTTACAAACATAGAAACAAGCATTTCCTACAGATAGCCTTCAGGCTACAAAGGAGTTGTTGGTTCCCTTCAAAAAATTAGATGCTTGCTGCATCAACAGTTCTAAGGACGAAAACACCCTGCCAGTAAATAATGAGAAGCCGAAGAGGACAGTACAATAATCTTACTAATATTTTGTAGAGATGCATTGATACGTAAAGAAGGGTTTCTTTACAATTCCGTTGAGATGGATGTGGCGGAGACGCAGACTGGAAATAGCCATGTCGAATATCACAAACGTCGGTTGTTCGACAGTATTATCTCGCTGATCGCCAAGTAGGCTTGTTTACTTTTAATATGTTAATTAACTAGATCGACACAGTTGGACACGTCGCCATCAACGTCCGAGTTCAGGCGTGTAGGCAGTGCGTTAGCGGTCGAATAGGTCACGTGTCCGATTGAGTTAAGTTTTTGAGATTTGATAGATTGTATACTGTATTACAGAACATATATTCCTGTATTTTTAACTCGAGTGCCAATATGAAAAAGCTACTGCCGAAGTCTGGTGGGCGTGAACATTCGCGAAAACTCGATTGCGGACTGTCAAGTCGGCAGTTCCCGTTATAATCTGAAGAGAAACTGGGAACGTTGGACGCTTGTCTTCAGGAGGAAGACATAAGGGAGAGAATTGTAAGTCAATAAAATTAATTTGTTTTTATTACAGATGGGCATGTAGACGCAGTTAATTTATGGTAATCCTAAAATGTCAATGCGATATATTTTGTCACAAGTCATGACACCTGAAGTCGCCAGTCATTTCACGCTACTTGGCACTTTATCGAAAAAAGATCTTCAGAAGTGCAGGTTTTACGGCTGCATACGAAGTAGTATATGCTCTTTAAACTTCAGGTGCATTAACTAGTCTATTCCTGTCATCACCTGTCAACGAAAAACATTTTGCGAAACTGCATAACATCGCTGCGCAAGGTTATTTTCACGAGACAAATTACAAAAGCGTCATCGAAGAAAACAAGAACATGGATGTACTAAGTTAAAGTGGTAACTATTTCTTACTGTTTTATAGGTACAGTCTTCAGTGTTAACAAACATAACTGTAAGTAACACTTCACGTAGCTAGTATAAAAAAACGTTATTTAGATATCGTTGTAAACTATTTTGTTCTTTCCGTTTCAGAATTCACAAGATTATTTTGATCCTCAATAGCCGAACAGGAGTTACGAAAAGAAATAACCAGTGGAATATTTTTTATGTTAAACTTGGTTTACAATAAACATTTTTTAAATATGAGCTTACTTTCTTACTTACATGGGAAACATTTTGACTAAGTGTTGAGAAAACCTGTTTGATTTTGAATGCACTTGCAATTAAGAACACGTGCCTAATCAACGTCAGCTGTTCTTTCTTCCGCAGATTTTTCAAATTTCAATAAGACTTGGCAATTATGATTAAAATACATAACAATCGATGCCCCAGCATCTATCAACTACCCATAATGTTGTACAATATGACGTTTTCTTTTTAAAAAATTTATTTAAACATGTACTATTTTTAACGTCAACAGTGAGGTGTTGCGTGTTATGGGGACAAAAGCGAACACCGAAAATGTTTGGGATTAAGTCAAAGGTGTGTCAAAAATTGAAGCAAAATCAGATAAATCGGCTAGTATTAAGGCGACAAGTAGACAATTCAGCGTGTGTTTTGGCTACAAGCAGACGAGTCGGAGTACATTTTTGCGACAAGTAAACAATTCAGCAACGTTTAAAACAGACCGACATAAAGGAGAGAATCCATATTACTCCTTCCGGAAAGGCGAAAGAGCAGACATTTCTGCGCGTTTCCCTATGATTTCTCTGTTGTTTTCTGACGCACTTTCTCCTTTGTTTTCTCTTTAAAGGAAGAATAAATTAACCAATAATCATTGGTTGATTGAGAAATTTGAAATCATAGCACTTTTTGAAGATGTAAGTAAAGGAGGCAACAGGTCGAATAAATTTGATTCGGATTAAATAATTTGTCCATCTGATATAAAGCCTGAGATAAGCTTTCAGGAAGAAAGCTAAACTTACAAACGAATCGCCTTATGTCACCGCAGTCACGCTTTCGTAGATCAGGTAGCGCGTTACTCAAATGGTTGAAGTGGTTCAAACGTTCTGGACGGAATATAAAATACTTTCGCTTAACGGGCTTTCATATCTAGTAGCAGTGGATCACCAATACCCCCCCCGGGCAGGAACCTAGGTATATTATCGATAAACGAGGAGAATGAAAAAAGTTGTTAAACCATAGTAATATATTGTCCTTACTACTAGTCCTCTCGGTTTCGCAGTTCCCTCCAGAGTTTCACCTCGTCAGCGAAAAGCGACAAATCTGTGGGAGATCGTTTATATAAATCAAGAAAAGAAGAGGTCCTAGTGATGAAACCCTGGGGGACCAACCAACCAATTACAGATGATTTTATACCTAACCGTTTGGGTTTATTGATAAGACATACTTGGTTGGCCCGATCAAAAGCTTTTGAGAAGTCAAGGTAAATGACATCAGACTTCCCCGTGCGATCAAGAAAGGTTGTCCATCTGTCCACCGCAGTCGGCAGGTTGGTTATATAACATATTAATACCTACGTCTTGACGTCACTCTTATTTTCCCCTGAGCTATACAGAACCCATTAGAAGATCGTAAATATCATATAAACACTGTTGAAATAACTGTGTGCAGTGGCATTTTGTGTTTATATCCGAAATGATTGGCTTGAATACTTATAAATGAATGGGAGTTTCGTGAATGATAATAATAATAAATCTCACATAGTGTAGTTGCGTTGTTTTGCTAACAGTAGGTAGTGCAAGAGTTCTGGAAATCCTCTTCTGTGTCTCCTCTATGTACGTGTCTAACGCTCTCTTTGTAGATGAGATAACGCCCTGCTCAACATTTTCCAGTGCATTTGAGAATGTAGACGTTTAAGCGTGCTTAAGAATTATTGCCAATCTCCCTACCCTACTTACAACTAGACTTATATAGCGTAGGGTTACAAATATTTCTAGCTTCCCGATATAGAAAGTTGGTCCCGTCAGTGTCTAGTGGTGTAACCCCCCCCCACGTTTGTTTTCTTTCATAGAGAGATGTAGTAATCCCAGTACTGTGCCAGGGTGGAGGGTTTTCTAGCTCTACCCTACTATTCGGGGCAAATATAAGGTTGCAGCCTCTACGTGAAAGTTATTGTAAATCTATTCGATCCTTCTTATAAAAGATATTTTTCTGTCTTTTGATTTGAAGCGGATAGTGCTTGTATAATTTCTTGTATGTTTCCCGTCCAGCCTTTTGGTTTGATTTGAGCTAGCATATCATTGTTGACAACAACTTGAAAGTCAAAAACGGGAGCTGTGTAGCCAATCTTTTTTGGAGGTGAATTACAGTCGACATGTGCAACCTCGTCCTCTTAGCTGAGCAATATATGATTTGGCAACATTAATTTTGTCGCATCAAATCGAGTCTTTCGTGCTTAATTAGGCCACTTTAACACTCACGTTGGCTAGACGTTTAGGAACGTTTTCGGTTAAATAGTTCTCAAAATATCCTTGTCTACAGTAGGTGCTTTTCTGAACCTTTCAAGCGATTACTTGTAAGAGATTTACAAAATTTAGTTCCCTTGTAGTGTGGTGTCGAGTCGCGGTTGACTATGATCACCACTACAATAAGGTTGCGTACCAGATATCAGAAGGCGACTGGAGGTTGTGGCGAAATATACGTGTTGGCGATCTCATGGTATCAAAAGAATACAGAGATCGTGCCAAAAGAGTACAAGCGGAATCACTGAGCAAACGTGAGCTTGTGCAAGGTCACAATCAACGGAAGGAAGAATGTCTTTGGTACAGTTAAACAAACAAGTACGGTTAAACAATCACTGGTATGACTGGTTATAATAATAATAATTGTTCCCATTAAACAAGTCGCGTTCTCTTGTTAAAAGTAGATCACTACACCCTACTGCCTAGAGACTGGGCTAGTTACTTTTTTCATGACCTTATCATATGCATATAGCTCTAATTATGTATTAAGGAAGCTCTGTTTTCGAATACCACTAAAATATCTTCGTGATGCCACAAAAAGTGGTTTTGACATCGTTTGCACCTGACGCCTCACGAGCCCGAAAATTTGAATCCTTGAGCACTTTTCGTTTGATATTGGGTTCCTACTTTAGGTTCGTGGGCAGATTTTTTATTTCCAGAAGGTGATAGGTCTTCGGGACAGAAATTTCGGATTTCATTTTGTTCCTATTTCATTAAGTCTAATCCAAGCCATTCGTGTATTTAATCACTATCTTAAGCATTTCGATCTTCCTCAAAGCCCAATACCTAGCTGCTTAATCTATAAAATTTCGTAATGTGACCTAGAGACATCTTAATACATTAATTTTTGACTATATAAAGTTTAATAATAACCGTTTCGGATCAAGACTACATGAAAAGCAGTCAGTTATACTTGAAAAAATCCGATAGTTTAACACTACATTAATTTTGGGTTGTGGATATTTTCCAGGAAAATAATGAAATATTCAGGGACAAACCATAAGGGTCTGGACACAAACCCTACCCAAACTCTCTGACTAAATTGTCGTTTCAGAACTAGTCTGGGACTCGGAGCTTCTGCCCTCCTCAGCTCTGTCGAGGATAACTGACCAGCTACAACGATCCAAGTTTCATTCCTCGGTCTCAATTGAGGAAACCTGCTCATTTGGCGTACAGTCCGGCCGCTTTTTGTTCTTTCCATTTCTCGTCCGTTTCCTTACCTCGTTGATATTCTAGAAAGCTCTATCAGGTTCCGATTAAACAGAAACACTTTGGTTCCTTTAGACCCTCTGGATGCTTCATCATGCTTCTCGAAAATCGTTCCAACATTATTCACACGGAATGTAGAGTTGGTTGGTGTACATAGAATGCTTAGGTGCTTGAGTTTATTTACAGAGGGGAACATGCAGGATTCGGACTGGGTTACGGCCTGTCGCAATTGTCTAAAGGGAACCAAAGCATGTAATCTCGACAGAACAGTATGCAACGGATTTAGGAGTAATATTCTTAGAATCAAATGTAGGTTCCATTTTCTGTGTTTCTGTTTAATCATGTCTAAAAGTCTCCACATTCGAATATTCCAGGTGATTATTTTACTTTTTTTCTCAATATATATTTTTCCTCTATTGTTGCCTTTGTTCAGTCTTATTTGGCTGATATTTTGATTCGTTTCAATTATTGGTTAATTTATTTGTTTTCAGCACAGCATATCCACTCCATCACCATGGGGATGATCAAAAATGTATGTGACTTCAGAATTAAAATTTAATGCAAGATGGATTAATAAGTAAACAAAATTAGTGGAGTCATGCAACTAAATATTCATGAACACGAACGTGGTTAACATGTAACAGCTTAGGTTGGTTGGTTAAGAGTTGACCCCAAACAACCAAGCATATGCCAAAACAGTATTGTTCAAGTATTCATTCACTTCCTTGTTTTGTATAAGCGTCATATTCCCTATTATCTTATATTGAATGTTGAGAGCCTTTGTTTGTCTGAACAGATAATCCCACGCTCCACTGTGACTGCGCGAGGATCGAAATAAAGACCTATTCACTACTTCTCTGGTTTCTTCTACCAATAGCACGAGGGTTACCTTAAGGCACGAAAAACATATAGTTTTGCGTGATATAATTGTGCAATGAGTTTAAAGTTATCATGAACTATCAGAGAAAAGGGGGTTTGTTCAAATTATGACCTCATAAAACACATTCTGGGAATGTAGTACTTTACAGACGACGGATGAAAACATGTGTTAAGCGCGAAAAACTGAACGGAAATAAACAAGGAGCACACATTATGTTAAGGTTGATAATGTTTCTTGTTGACAGTTGCTGAGTATTTTAAGAGTTTCCACTTGAATAATCTTGAATCGTACTACGTTTAATTAGGTTGTGGTATGAGATAGATATAAAGTTCTATATCAGTGATACTACTGGTGGTTAAGTGACATGTTGTGGAGTTGAAGCAAAAACTGATGGGGATATTTGTGTAGTGATAGGCAGTGTATAAGAATTAAATAACGTATTATTGGGACTGTAAAATATAGGATGTGAACCCCAAATTGTATTAGGAATAAGAGTGTAATGTAGTAGGTGACTAGGACGGGATAACAATGCAAAAGGAACCTTATTAAGACAATGCATCATAGAATCAAGACCATATGCCCTCTAGATACGGTCGAAGACGAAACAAAGGCATTATACACAACTCTGAAAGAAAATGGATATCCCTCGAAATTTATAAATAAAAACATAGCCAACAACAGAGAGCAAAGAGAATGCCTAACTGTGAATAAAAAGCCTCTGTATATCCGCTTACAATTCAAGGGCGATGTATCGAGTGAAATGCTAACATTGAGCTCAAGCAGATCAATTCAAAAGACTTTTAATGCAGGTAAATTTCAATTAATGTTTTCCACACGTCCAATAATCACTCCGAGGTTGAACGATAAATTGCCTAGAGTCGCCACCTCTTTCTGTATTTATCGACACAACTGCACCTGTGGAGCAATTTATATTGAGGGATGTTCTAGGAATTTGTACATTCAGGCATGTAAGCACCTACCAGTGTGGCTAAGCAAAGGTTTAGTCGAAACAGTTAACAGCTCCATTTTAACCCATTTAGTTCAGACTGGACATGCAGACAACATGGAGCAATCTTTCGCAATGATATATCGCGTTAACAGCAGTCTACCTGATTCCGTCAGACTGAGAATCTTGCAGACGGCCGAATCAACTGTTATTCGTATCAAAAAGTCAGAGCTTTGCATCCAAAAGAAATATGTTCAGCCGCTCATTTACCCTGGCCAACTTCGTGATCAAGTAGTTAATAATCAATTTTATAATATTGTGGCGTAATTTTAATGATGTTCATTTTTATGTCCCAAATTTATCTTGTCATTATTATTATTATCTTCACCATTGTTATTATTATTACACTTGATAACCATTTTGAGATATTTATTCAGAATCCACCCCTATCCACTATATCTGACCTAATTCATATTATTCTACATGTCACGTAATTTCTGATTTTTATTCCATTATTTTCTCTCAACCCCCAAATTGGCCATATTTATTCTGATGATTTATCTTAAAATTTCATTTCGCTTATAAACTGACCCAAGTTAACATTTCATATTAGTCAACC